CTTTAGCAAAATTTTAGGGTTAGTGCCGGCCGGGTTTTATATTAAAAAACCCTGACCGGCATCAGTATAATGCTGGCCCGCATTAACCCTAAATTTTGCTAAGGGTCATTTTGAACTGGGTCAAAATAGAATTTCCCATATTTTATTTGTAAAAAATAATAGTATTTTATTCTCAAAAAATAAAAGTATTATTTTATTTTAAAAAATAATAATACTTATTTTAATAAAAAATAATATTTTATTTTTAAAAATTATGTATTTATTCTCAAAAATAATAATATTTTATTTTTAGAAAATAATATTTATTCTCAAAAATAAAAGTATTTTATTTTTAAAAAATAATAGTATTTTATTTTTAAAAAATAATAGTATTTTATACTTAGAAAAACAATAGTATTTTATACTTAGAAAAACAATAGTATTTTATTATTAAAATGATATTCTTTTATTTTTAAAAAAATTATTATGTTATCCTCTATAAATAATAGTATTTTATCTAGTAAACTTAGCTAATCAAAATTTTATGACTAACCAAGTTAATAAAATTTTATTAGCTTAATTAGCTTAACTAAAAAATTTATAATCAAAATAAACTTCTCTTTATAGTTCATAACACACTATAAATTCAAAATTAATTACAATTGGCAGCTAAGAATTAGTATTAGGGGGTTTTTTGTCTTGAAAATCACCCTCTGACATTTCGAAAATCACCCTCTGACATTTCGATTTGGTTAATTCAGACCGAGTACCGGTTCATGTTTATATGTTAATCATCTTTTACCTTTATTGATTCATAGATATTCAATAAACTATTGAATCAATAAAGGTAAAAGATGATTAACATATAAACATAAACCGGTACTCGGTCAAATTAGCCCGGTCGGAATGTCGAAAGGCAACGACCGCATTTGGCTTTAATGGATAAATGGTTAATGTTAAATAAGCATTAATATACTATTCCTAGTTTACAAGTGTGACGATAGAGCCGGCATTCAAAGAATTTATAAAATCGGCTAGCCGATTTTAGAAAAAACCGACCAACCGGATCGAAAATCGGCTAGGATTACTATTTATGATTTCAACGATGAGTAGATTCATAATTCAATAGCGATAGTGGGTGAATTGTAATTTTACCGAATTTGTAATTTTAACAGTGGGCGGGTTTGATTTCATAATAGATAAATGGCAAGCCAACAGTAAATGGGTTCGTGATTTCAGCAGTAAATGAGTTCACGATTCGATAGTGATCTAAACGGTGGGTGGTTTACGATTTTGTCAATTGATAAATTCATAGTTTACTACTGAGTGCATTAGCTATTTTAATAGTGGTGGGTTCATGGTTTTGACAGTGAGTTCATTATTTCACAATGTGATTCACGACTTAGCGGTAAGTTACAGTAGTAGTGATTTTGGCAGTAGGCACTCTGACGCATGTTTTTGACAGTTGATACGCTCTAATCTCAAATAAACATTATAAAACTCCTTAGTATTAGCCGATTTCAGTTTTAACCATGATATTTACTGTAAGTATGCATTTAGAAATATCTGTAAGTATGCATTTAGAATTTATTAATCTTCTCTTAAAATATGGAATAAGATGGGTAGCACGAATCGCCACCCATGCAATAGTCATTAATCAAAGACAAATCTGTAAATATTTGTATATTATTTATTTTGCATGCATACGTGATCGTACTGGTTCTGTGTGACATTGCATTTATTGTTTAGTAATTTATCACAACATTAAAAATTATATTATTATTATGAAATAGTGAATTTTTGGCATCATTACTAGAACCAATTAGAAGGAAGAGATGTAAGTTTGTCAAACGCATATAAATTCAATATCCTCGATCTCTTTCAAAAATAAAGTTTGTAAATTTTAAAAAAAAGATTAACAGCATAGAATATTCATAAAGCATTACTTTTTTCAAAGAATAATATCAGACAATGGTAAATTTTAATTACGATATTAGGGCAAAAAATTTTTTAATTTCAAATGTTATTTTTAAAATAAAAATAAATTGAAATAAATTTATAGAAATTTAGAGCACTTGAATTTCTCATTTTTTTGATCATGGCGTTGGTGTTAATCGCCCAAGCAGATGCCCGCATGCACAAGATTACTAAACCCGATGGCCACAGACACAAGAAATGCAAATCACATTCTACTATAACTACATCTTCTACTCTTCCTACTATAACTACATCTTCTACTCTTCCTACTATAACTACATCTTCTACTCTTCCTACTATAACTACTACTCTTCCTACTAGAGCTGCAGCTACTCCCGTGACAAGTAATTTTTAAGATTCTTTGATCAATTGAATTCATAATATATATGACACATTCCAATTACATTTGGCTTTTCTAGGTTGTTATACATCTTGTCCATCATGTCCTGCTGCATCTCCAACTCGTTGTGGAGCTCCTTGCCGATTGATATGCAGCACTATTGGCGTCTGATATATCGATGTCTACGATTGTATTAATAATAATAAAATTATTGAATTGCTAAAACTTAGATAACATTCGTATTTTGCATCATAATGAAATAAAACATATCAGATATATTAGACCACATGTATTTAACTGTCAAAAGTTTTTATTAGTTGATAATAATTGTCGTTTCTGTTCTTGATATCTAACTTCTTATGTATTTAGATGACATTGTATATATCTTGAAGCTTTAACTTTGCAAAACTATATATGGTAAATTTGTCTACAACTTGATATCAAAACATACATTATGATAATGGGATTACAAACAAAATGAATTATCAAACATTATTATTATTATTATTATTTATTATTATTATTATTATTTATTATTATTATTATTATTTATTATTATTATTATTATTTATTATTATTATTATTATT